GCCACTCCTCTTCCAAAGCCAAGCGCTTTGTTAGTCCTCAAAAGCCATATTTGATGCCATGTTTACTACAGTCGCCTTCAGTACGTAGCAGCGGCAGTGAAAGACCTTTGTGCAGTTCTGTGTACCAACGGCTGGGATCTGCTCCTGGGGCTGGCTGTGATAAAGAGGTTATCAAATGCCTGCTCTGCTCATTCATTGCTGGTCTGAGCTCCTGTTTGCAGGAGGCTTTCAGCTGAGAGAGGATTAGTGTTTGCAGACTGTGAGGCATGACCTTTCCATCCTTCTCCCTGGGGAGACCTTATACAGATAGAGAAGATGGGAAGGATGGGGTCTTGTAACCATTAACATCTTATTTCACTAGCCAGGAAATGGGGGGGAGCTTTCTGCTGAGTCTGCCTGAGAAGGCTGGAGTTGCTTGTCCCATCTGAGCCAAGACGGTGTAAGGGTCAAACCAAGCAGTGTATTTCTGGTGTCGGATCTGAAGCTTGGCCTGCAGGGCCAAGTCCAGACTTTAGTCCGGAGGAGGGGGAAGCTGCATCACAGCTCCGGGGGGCTTGTGCTCATGAGAGGCTTGAGCAGCCCTTAGAGGAATGATGTGCTTGTGCCGTCAAGCACTGATGGAGCATCACCTGCCCTGCAGCTGCTGAATTGTAGAGTTGTTTCAGTTAGAACGGACCTTTAAGATGATGGAGTCCAACCATCAACCTCACACTGACAAAGCCACCACTGACCCATGTCCCTCAGCACCATGCCTGCCTGGCTTTTCAATACCTCCAGGGATGGCGACTCCACCACTGCCCTGGGCAGCCTCTGCCAAGGCTTGACAACACTTTTGGTGAATAAATTTTTCCCAACATCCATCCTAAACCTCCCCTGGTGCAACTTGAGGCCATTTCTTCTTGTCCTATCTCCTGTTCCTTGGGAGAAGAGACTGACTCCCCCCCCGGCTACACCCTCCTTTCAGGGAGTTGTAGGGAACGAGGAGGTCTCCCCTCAGCCTCCTTTTCTCCAGGCTGAACACCCCCAGCTCCCTCAGCCTCTCCTCACAAGACTTGTGCTCCAGACCCCTCACCAGCTCCGTTGCCCTTCTCTGGACCCGCTCCAGCCCCTCAGTGTCTTTCCTGTCGTGAGGGGCCCAGAACTGGACACAGCCCTCGAGGTGGGGCCTCACCAGTGCCAAGGACAGGATGGTCACTGCCCCAGTCCTGCTGGCCATTCTGTTATTAGGCTCTCTGCTGGCTTCGTACATGTTAACTGAATGAGCAAGGGGGAAAAATAGATCTGTTTGAAGCTTTATAAAAATTGTATCGTTCCTCCTTCCTGTGCTGTAATGGGTCCCCATCATGCAGATTTTGCCTCTTTCTTTCAGGCTAGTCCTTCCTAGGAGGATCTCCTCAATCTGTAGAGGCCTTCATGTCTCCCAAAATGCTGTGCGTTGGTTTTTCCAAGAGTGACCTGGGCAGGAGTTGTGCTCTTGCTAGAGATTCCTTTCTGTTACCCTTCTGTGAGGTCTGTGTTTGTTTCCCATGGATTATCCAACCTTAGTTAAAAAGATGACTTTAGTCTCCAGTGGGGAAAAAAGTCCTCCTCCCTGCCTTTGATAGGGTCAGGTGTAATTTCCAAAGTAGTACCTCTTTAATTCATAGAATTCCTCTGTTCTGCTCATCTTTCGTAGTGGTCCAGCCCTAGAGGCACTCTCTCATCATCCTCACATTTGACTTCTGTTTGCCAATAAAGTTCTGTAGTTTCAATGACTGTCCTCTTTTATTTTGTTTGTTTTGAAGGCAGTCTCTCCTCTCAGGACGGGCTGGGGTGGGGTCCAACCAAAAGGCTTTTCTGATATCTGCCAGAGCATCCTCCCTGCTCTGCAGCCTGGTTTCACGCAGCCAATTCAACTGGGCTTGCGTCTACGCAAACAGCTTTGAGAAACAGTGTGAGCTCACCCCCTCAAAATGAACATGGTGGCTGAAAGTATGTTGGGATGTCTGTGATGAAAAACCAGTTCATCCCGTTTGTCTGTAACGGATGTTTCCTGCTCATCCATATTCAGTTTTAAGTATTAAATCTTGAATTCATTTGAGGTACAAGTAAAGCTTGGTAATGCTAAATACCACATTTCTTCTATGTGGACATCACCAGCTCCTCTGTCTCCGCCTGGGCCAGTGGTCCTTCTTCACAAATGGCCTTTCACACCTTGGTGCTGCCTTGGGAGCTTGACAGTGCAGCAGCTGGGTTGGGGTGGCCAAACTGGGAGTGTGGATGTGATCTGGTGGTTCTCAGTTGACCTGATGATTTCCAGACCTCCTCCATTGGCTGCAAACATGCCGTGTGACCCTTTTCAGCAGAGACCCACCTTCCTGCAGAGTGCCAATGAGAATTCATCTGCTTTTCACTCTAGAGAATCATAGAATTGTCTAGGTCGGAAGGGACCTTTAAGATCATCTAGTCCAACCATCAACCTAACTCTGATTATAAAAAAAAATAAACCCAAGACCAGCAATCACTAAACCATGTCACTAAGCACTATGTCAAAGAGAAGAGGGCTGCTGAGTCGTGGGCTGGGTGACATCCCCCGGAGGTTGTAACCTGTGCAACCTGCACTAAGGTCCAAGCATTGGCAGAAACTGTTCAAGGCGGGGGGGTTGTGGGATTGTGATGTTGCGTGAAGCGTCCGTTTGAGCGTATGGATGTTTCTTTGTGCTATTAGTAGTTCCTTGACACTGTGGAGGGACACGGCATCCTTCCTAGGAAGATGGAGTATGTTTAGAGTCCTGCAGGCTCCCTGCGTGATAGAACAATATCTGAACAAAAGCAGTGGAAAGTGGTGTTAGAGTTGTGCATTCTCTGTATTTAATCTTTGCCTTTTTGTGGAAGTATTTTTAAAAAAAAGCATCTAGGGAGGAAGGTCAGGCTGGGGAGAGCCGTGCCCTCTTTTGTGCAAACACACAACTGGCCATGGAAATGGATAGAAAAGATAAGAGTCGTTCTAAATATTCAGAAACAGCAGAGTTTTTCCAATATTCAGAAACTGAAATTTCCAACTGGAGCTACCTGCGTTTCCTGGATCTCGTGTGAAGGGCTTCTGCCTTATCTATAGCTGCCAAAAAGTTTCCAGAAATAAAAGTGTACCACAGTTGGAGGTGAGGAGGTGAAGGGAGAGCATACTTGTGTTTCACGAGGGTTAATGCTTTTGTTCTGTGCCACTGGCTGGTGGGTGGAGGATAATTCTCGTCCTGTGTCTCGGTTAGTAGGTAGGTTTGCTTCATCGTCTCATGACACGCGTGGAAGAAGCCCTTGCTAAATCCTCTACAGATGTCTTGCTACAGGCGGACTGAGCCAACTGCCTGAGGAACTTTTGATCCCTTGTAAATAGGGTTGTGTTTCTGGGTGTACCTGATGGTGTTTGATTGCTGATGTCCTTCCGCAATGACTTGTTTGGGTGGTTTCATTTAGCACTTCTCTGCTGATGGGGAGGTATTTGCTGTCCCATGCACACGTTGACATTCCAGCTGTATCCACGCGGAAGCAGGACACAAACCTTGCTTCTAAAATTATTCAGGCACTCGTCTGTTCATGTCTGGGAAATCACGAATGCAGCAGTGTCCCCTGAAGGGGTACACTCCAGTATGTGTAGCTCCCAGGATGAGGGGGGTACCTCCAGGTATGTTTATTCTAGTTCTTAAGCAAGAACTGCACCCCAAACATCTCCAGAACATCCCCATCTACTGTCTAACACCAGCTCCTGACACAGCAGCTTTTCCCTTCATCCTGCTGATCGCTTGGGAAATAAGGGGAGGCTCATCCTCCTCCACTGGTCCCTCTGGACTGTCCCATCAGGCTGCAATGATCTGTTGATACAGAGTCTTCAGAGTTTCATGTCTGAGTCGTAGAAAGTCCTCCTGACTGCAGTGGGGCTGAGCTGAACCATTTGGCTGTGCTAACGGTCCAGTGTGAGTTCACGTCCTAGGAAAGGTCTCATGCTGAGATGTCAACCTTCCCTGAGCTCCCTGGACTGCACTGGTAGAGCAGGACCTCCTGGGTCTGTACAGCTTCTGCCTGTCTTTTTTAGGTGGTCCATGGGCACAGAGGAACCACTTGACCTCCAGGGGTTGAGAAGCATCTATTTATTTCTTATCTTCTTTTGACAGAGTTGGTGGACTGATGCTCATGAGATGCACCAGTTGTGCTGTCTGGAGTAGTCCAGAGTTGTCTGCCCTTGGCGTTATGGTGGTGACAAGGTTGGATGTGTGAGAGGATGGTGCACTTCTCTGGCAGAACTTTCATTTGCCAGTCATGAATGTAGGCTGCTGGAGAAGATCTTGGCCCTCGAGTCCCTCACCCAATTCCACTAGAACATCTGTTTTTCCAAAACCTCATTTTTTTGGCAACAAAATTACGTTGGTAACAAACTGTATGTCGATGCAGCTTTCAGGAAATTTCTAGCTTTTTTAAAATAACAGATCTTGCTTTGGCTACTAATTTTCATCGTCTCAATAAGACAACAGTTTCAATTAGCAAATTTATGTGGGGTCAACTTTAAAAGATGGAAAATGGAGAATTTCACTTCAGTGTGCTTCAGTATTTTCTTCTCTTGGTGCCTTTCATTTGCCACTTTTTATTTTTTGTCTGGCTTTTGTGTAATACTTTATAAATATATAAAGTGAGAAGAAAACAAACTTACACTTCACAGTTGCTTTAAAGGTGGGATGTGATCTCCTGGCAGTTCCCACCTGACGTTCCGGTGTAATTGAAATTGCTTTTGTTAGAATGTGTGGTGTGAGTCCTGGTAGCTCCGACAGCAAGCAGGGGGTGGCCAGCCCTCGTATCTCTTCATGATGTCAGGGCTTTTAATCAGAAAACTGTTAAGAAAATGGCAAAATTCCCATATAGCTGTTCAGTTTCCTCGAGGAGAGCTCTGGATGTTAGCCCTGTTGTACATTTCTTGCTCAGTATTTTAAAGTAATGATTTTTATTTCTCATATCTTTTTTCTTTTCCCCAGGTAAGAAACCCAAAAGCAACCTGCCTTTATTGAGTTCTCAAGAACATAATCGACCCCTTGGTACATTATCAAGATGCATTAGGAAACTGGATACGGTGCCAAAAGAACTCCATGCGTTTCCATGACTCTCTGGGACCCTGACTCAGATACTTTTGGATATATATTTCTGTTCTGAGGAGAAGAGCGCGTACTCCAACTCCTTTCTGCCAGCTCGCTGGCAGAGAGGTTTCACTAAGATCATGGACCATCCTAGTAGGGAAAAAGATGAAAGGCAGCGGACGACGAAAGGGATGCCAGGAAGAAGCGGGCACGGGTCTCGACCGAGCTCATCGGCATCTTCTGGCGTGCTTATGGTTGGACCCAACTTCAGAGTGGGCAAGAAGATTGGGTGTGGGAACTTTGGAGAGCTCAGACTAGGTAAGAAGTAACTGTTTTAGTGGCCTCCATTATCCAGATTAGCATTTCACCACTGGAATATAAATACATAAAAACTTAAGAAATGAGTGTGCTCTGTCTTGTTCCCCAAGTGTCGAGCTGCTTTACCTGAAGCTTCTGACGCAGAAGATGTAACTGTTAGCGTTATTTGTATTTGCATAAAGTCAAAGTGAATACACTGGAGAGGCCAAAGATGCAAATTTTGAACAATCCCAACACTGAAGACTGTTCTCAGCACTGAATGTCTTGCCTAAGGTGAAAAAAAAAAAAATACTTTTAACTGCCTGGATTGCTAACTCTTGCTCTCAATTTTTTGTTCATAATGTAGAGCACCTTATTAAAGTGATGGGTGAGACTCTCCCAGCACTTGGCCATATCTTCTCTACTCCACATCCTTCACCAACCTCGGTACCCCAGTTTCAGCCCTGCCACCCTCTCCCTGACCCATCCCATGTGTGTCACTCGCTGGCGAAGAGTGGGCTGTGCCGACTGGCCATCTGGCTGCTGCCTCTCAGCCGCCGAACTGGCTTGGTGGCCCGTGATTTTTTTCGTGGTCTGTTGGTCTTCTAACCACATGTCTTGCAGCTGGTCACCCAGACAGATGGCTACAGTAATGCCTCGTTTGTTTAGGAGGACTTAAGAACCCTGCAGTGCATTGGGCTCTTAAGTCCTCCTAAGCAAACGATGGTTATTTTTTAAATGAGGTGGGGGAAGCAGCCGGTGTTTTTAATTATGTGCCCCTAAGCTCCCACTACGTGGTTTTGGGGTAGTTGCGGTGGATCAGAAGCAGCAACTTGTGATGGTCTTGATCTTGACTGGGTTTAAATGGTTGCATTTCTCCTCTTATGCTGAATGAGATGAGAGGAACCTGATGAAATTCAACAATGGCAAGTGTAGGGTGCTGGGGGAGGTGCACCTGGGGAGGAGTAACCCCCTGCACCAGGACAGGTTGGGGCTGACCTGCTGGAGAGCAGCTCTGAGGAAAAAGACCTAGGATTCCTGGTGGACAACAGGTTGCTCATGAGCCAGCAATGGGCCCTTGTGGCCAAGAAGGCCAATGGCATCCTGGGGGGCATCAGGAAGTAGTCATCCTCCCCCTCTGCTCTGGGGAGGCCCCATCTGGAGCACTGGGACCAGTTCTGGGCTCCCCAGTTGAAGAAGGACAGGGAACTGCTGGAGAGGGGACAGCAGAGGGCTACAAAGATGATGAGGGGCCTGGAGCATCTCTCTTACGAGGAGAGGCTGAGGGACTTGGGTCTTTTTAGTCTGGAGAAGAGAAGGCTGAGGGGGGATCTGATCAATGCTTATAAATACTTAAAGGGAGGGTGTCAGGAGGATGGGGCTGGTCTTTTTTCAGTGGTGCCAAGGGACAGGACAAGAGGAAGTGGCCACAAACTTGAATATAAGAAGTTCCATCTAAACACAAGGAAGAAATTTTTCACTTTAAGGGTGGCAGAGCCCTGGCAGAGGCTGCCCAGGGAGATGGTGGAGTCTCCTTCTCTGGAGACATTCAAACCCCACCTGGACGCGTTCCTGTGGGACCTGCTTTGGCAGGGGGTTGGACTGGATGATCTCCAGAGGTCCCTTCCAACCCCACAGCATTCTGTGGTTCTGAGAGTTGGATCGCTGTGGTAGTGAACTTGAGGGTGCTGAAGGCGGGTTGGCTGACATAAATAGTGTTTGCCCAAAACTTAGTATGGATTTAGAATGGAAATTAAAATAATTTGTGCATCAGGCACAAGGGACAGTAAATAAATCAATGGGGAAACTGCTTCAGGTAACCAGAGAGGTTATAACACGTAACTACTGGTGGTATCTTTGCAGATTCCTGTGCAGGATCTACGGGATCTTAGATTAATTGATGTGATCTTTGATTCTAAGGTTTGGTTATTGCATCTATATGATGTGCCACTTCTTCTCAGAGTGAAGCTTCACCAGGTGGCTTCTGATCTGTCTCGCTAAATGGATGGTTTTGGTGTCAGCATCACATCAGAGATGTTCTTTTGATTTGCAGGAGCAGAGGTGACGCTCCAAAGGTGGAGAGAAACCAAGGGCAGGGACAGAAGCTCCCACCTTTATGAACATGAGCATAATTGGCAGCTGAAGATCCTTACAATAACATCAGAAAGGGCATTGTATTTTTAAAAGCCACCCCCCACCCCAGCAAATGTCAGGATGGCAGGATTCCCGTGGAGATGTTGAATTGCTTTGCAATCCCAACTCCGCTCCAAAGGCTCCGCAGCTGCAGCGGCTCCCCCTGGCAAAGGGCTCGGGCATTCCTTCTGCTGGTGCCCCACTGCCCATCCTGCCTCCCCAATCCCTGGTTTGCACGTTTCTCAACATTTTCACCGCGTTGGATTCCCCACTGATGTGTTGTTTCAAAGCGTGGATGCTACACGGGAGATTTCACTTCTGAAAAAGACAGCTTACAAAGAATATTCAGTTTGAATCTAGGAAAAAAAAACAGCCCCTGTTGATGGAGTGGCTCTGTTTGTTGTTTTATTGGTACACTGGTAAATGTGGTTCTGATACTGGTTACCTAAACCCGCTGTGTTTGGGCAATGGGCCGTAAGTGCTGATAACAGCAGTCAGGTGTAAGGTCCTTACAGAAGCTGTGTCACTGGGGCTTTGTGCCAGTCACTATGGCTTTAAGAACTCCCATTTGCTCAAATATCAGATATTTCTGTTGCACAGATGTGATGCTAATTAACCCTGAATTGTGCTGGGGGGAAGGGGAGGCAGCACAGCTGAAATAGGAGCAAACAAGTCTCTGGTAGCAGTTTTGTCCTGTGAAGAGGAATGGCATTGCCCTCTGCTTCTTGACTTTTTTGACGTGGTTTCAGAGAAGTTAAACACCGGTGAATGTTTTTAGAAGGAGAAGAAGAACAAAGTGGTGCGCTGATAAACAAGGGGAAAATCTCATTATTCCGATTCCCCAAAGGATTTCTCTTTTCTCAGGTGTTGTGTTTTCACCCCGGGCTGTTCCTGTGTCACGCCCCGGTACCCGACAGAGGGCTGGGGGTGCAGGGGGGGATGGCACCGACCGAGGGGAGCTGTTTTGTGAGTCTCCAGCTCGCTGCTGAGGGCTCATCTCCCTGCAAATACAGATAGCCCCGGGGATGTTACTTCTGTGCAGCACGTGGGAGCAGCAGGGTTGGATTCCAGAGGAGCTGAAATGGGAAGATGATCACAAAACTCAAGTTTTTAGCCCCGAGTAATAAGATGGAATGGGGTTAACCCATTCTTTCTTCGGCCGGGCTGCAGGTTAGGTGGTCTCTGAGAGCTTTGGTTCCCGAAGCAGCTCAACCTCCAGGCGAAGAGCAGGGTATCGTGCTCCCCGTCCCTGGGCTGGACTCTGGGCTTGTGGGGTTTCACCACCTTTTGTGTGGCACTAAGCCCTGTCGAGCAGCTTCCGATTGTCCCTCGAGTGAATTCCTGTGTTACCTTGGGAGCTGGAGCACAGCTGAAGCTCTCCAGCGTGTCTTCTGCTGTGACGAGGTCCTGCCTCTCCACCCCCAGCTGATAGGAGCAGCAGCTTTACGTAAAACAGCCCGAGAGCGGGCTCCGTGGGCTGTAAAACTGTGTGACGTCAGGAGGTGCTCACTGCTCAGGAAAAATGGGATTTAACCTGGTAACTGGAGTGCTGTGCTAAGCCCGGCCGTAAACTTCAGCGTAGAAAAGCTGCTGCAGCTGAGCCTGCAAACCGCCTCCTCCCGCCCAGTCACACTCACCCAGGGGGAATTTCCTCTATTTACTCCAAATCCTGAACCATGAGCCGTGTTAGGGATAAATAAACCCCTTCAAACGTCTCATTTTCCCCGGTGTTTGGCACCTCTATTTAGTAAAGCAATTAAATAGGTACTAATGTAAAATTATTCCCGTTTCAGTAAGGTGGAGGGTTTTCTAAAATAGGCATTAAGTTCTGGATAGACCGGGGGCTTATTTTAATGCCCTAGACTATTTTTGCCCAAATCTTTTTGCTGTAATCCACACATTATCCAGCATTTTCCAAACAGTGTGTTAAATTATCATTTTAAAATGACAATTAATGCAACTTTTCTCCCTGCTTAGAGGGGGAAAATAAACCACAAAACATGAGAAGGGCTACAGATCCTGTTGCTTGTGTCCTCCCTTGGTAGGCTACTGCACGGAAGGGATTTTTAGAGAAGTCTGTGGTTTTTGTGTGCTGCCCAAAAAAATTGCATAGTGTCCACAGTTGGGTGTCAACACCATGCACCCAGAGGTCTCACGAAGATTCAGTGCATCTCAGGAGCGAGCAGCAAGCCCCAAACTAGAAGAAAAGCTGCTTATTTATAGGTTGCCAAGTCAACGCAGATTGATCAGATCTGTGAAGGTGCCCCCCCTCAAAAGTGAGAACCACCCAGCTGACCCCAGGCTGCAGCTCTGCTTTAAAGCAAGTTAAAAAATAATAAATAATTATTAAAAAAAAAAAAAAAAGTGATAATAGCATGTGATAGTGGGGCTGGCTTTGTCTCTGCTTCCCAAGTAACAAAATCATCGGGTGAATACGGGACTAGAATAGCACTGGATGGGGAGGGTGTGGGTAAGAGTAGGTCCTGTGTAGGATCCACAGCAGGAGCCGTTGTTTGGAGATACGTGCTCTGGAAGGGGCAGCCAAAGGGGCACCCCAGGGTGGATGTGAGCTCACCTTCCAGCTGGCCACGGGCTCTGCTCTCACTGCAGGTGCCGTGCTCTCGGGGGTGAGCTCTGCCTGGTCTGCAGGACAAAGAGTTGGGTGTTTGCTCCCTTACCCAGCCCTGATGTCTCATCAAAATCTATCACACACAGAGCCACGAGCCAGAAGGAGGGGTCAAAGCATTTTCTGATTCGTGTCGTTCATGAGAGGTTTGTACTTGTGGCTCTTAACTTTGACCTGTGGGAACAGCGCACACAAGGGATCCATCAGTTTGGGCTCCTCTGCTGCTCTGCAATCTGTAAATTGGACACATCTTACTGCCAGGGCTTGAGAAATGCTCTCTGCGAGGTTTCCCACATGAATGCCAGTGACTTCATGCAGCACTTCTCATTTGGAATATGCAGTTCATAATTGTCAGTGGAACTACCCAAATCTGAGGCATGAACTTAATCGCTGCTCCGTCAAAAGCTCTGCCTGAACTTGAAAGGCTTTTGTTAGCACAGTTCTATCATCTCCCCTGTGTTACAAATCTTTTGTCTTGCTAAGATAAGATGCAGCTTCTATTCAGGGCTGATTTTGCTGTGCAGATTCCCCTTCTCTTGCGAGCAGTGCTGCCTCTCCTCTTCCATTTTAATGCCACTGCTGCCTTGGAGGAGGAGGAGGAAGAAGCCGTTGCGCCTGGGACAGTGTGATGGGAACTCCAAGGGGCAGATCTCAGCCTGGAGCAAGTCAGCCAGGAGAGGGGGGGGATTTGCTTTCCCGTGGTAGTTGGCAAAACGAGCATCTCGTGCTGCAGCTTGAAGGGAGGGTTTGGAGCTCAGAAGCTGGACCCATTTGTACCCCCTTGTGTTCAGGGTCTCCCCATAGTGTGTGGTCTGAAGGGGAAATAATTAGTTCATTTACCTGGTCTGACATCCCAGGCCAGTGTTTTGCTAATTTCAGTTTTTTAACTGCGGAATTTCATTACCAAAATTACCTTTTGTCTAGTCCTCAGCCTTATGAACCAGCCCATAACAGGCTGGATGATGGCTCTGCACACATGGAGGGTGTTGGCAGTGCCCTCCTCTGCCTTCAGACGACCTTGGAAGAGCACTGTTTGCCCAGTCTCGTTACCCTGTGTGGGTGGAAGAGCCCGAGTGCTGCTGGAGGGTCCGTGGACCATCACACCCCGGCTCCACTCCCAGCCCTGCGCGCTGAGCACAAAGCTTCCGTGACACGGGGCGTCTGCAGCGCTGGGGTGCAGGGAGGTGGGATCTGTCGGGGATGGCATTCTTACACCTCCCTCCTTGGGGTTTTTTTCTGTTTAAAGCCATCTGACTTCCTCACGTATTCGTGCTGGAGCTTCTCTTAAGAGCCCGAGTGCTGCTGGAGGGTCCGTGGGCCATCACTCCCCAGCTCCACTGGGAGGTGGGATCTGTTGGGGATGGCATTCCCACACCTCCCTCCTTGGGGTTTTTTTCTGTTTAAAGCCATCTGACTTCCTCACGTATTCGTGCTGGAGCTTCTCTTAGTCTGGGTCCGTGTCCTGAAACTGAGCAGCTTGGCAGGAGTTGGGTCCCTGTGGGGAGGAGGAGGTTGTTAGTCTGGGTCCGTGTCCTGAAACTGAGCATTCAGGAGTTGGGTCCCTGTGGAGAGGAGGAGGAGGAGGAGGAGGTTACCCCCTTGTGTTCAGGGTCTCCCCATAGTGTGTGGTCTGAAGGGGAAATAATTAGTTCATTTACCTGGTCTGACATCCCAGGCCAGTGTTTTGCTAATTTCAGTTTTTTAACTGCGGAATTTCATTACCAAAATTACCTTTTGTCTAGTCCTCAGCCTTATGAACCAGCCCATAACAGGCTGGATGATGGCTCTGCACACATGGAGGGTGTTGGCAGTGCCCTCCTCTGCCTTCAGACGACCTTGGAAGAGCACTGTTTGCCCAGTCTCGTTACCCTGTGTGGGTGGAAGAGCCCGAGTGCTGCTGGAGGGTCCGTGGACCATCACACCCCGGCTCCACTCCCAGCCCTGCGCGCTGAGCACAAAGCTTCCGTGACACGGGGCGTCTGCAGCGCTGGGGTGCAGGGAGGTGGGATCTGTTGGGGATGGCATTCCCACACCTCCCTCCTTGGGGTTTTTTTCTGTTTAAAGCCATCTGACTTCCTCACGTATTCGTGCTGGAGCTTCTCTTAGTCTGGGTCCGTGTCCTGAAACTGAGCAGCTTGGCAGGAGTTGGGTCCCTGTGGGGAGGAGGAGGTTGTGCCGGTGGGTGACCTACAGCTGGAGCTGCTGATGTGACTCATTTGCTGGTGGCTACTCCAGAGCAGAGAGTTTAGGTGTATTTAGGCTGCCTTCCCTTGATGTCTGTGCAGGTTCTGCCCCCGTAGCATCAGCCCCGAGCCTGTCCCTGGCTCAGAGGGTGAAGCAGTTCATCCTGCTGCCTCTTTCCCACTGATGGCACCTTCCAGCTCTTTCAGCGATTTGAAGCCACTTTCCAACCTTTGAGCGTTCCTTATGCAGCTACAAAACCTACTTCCTACCCTTCATTTCCAGCCCAGACATAATAGCTTTTAGTTAAAGATGTAAGGGAATAGATTCAAACCACCTTGTGTTGCAAGAGTTAACGCTGGAGCTCAGCTTACACGTCTGCTTGCATAAAGTGCTTCCTCTAAGGATATTTAACCTCACATTTAAAGGGCTGCCCTGTGTTAAACAGCATCGACGGTTACTGTAACAGGTTGAAGCTTTCCATAAATCGTTTTGGCTTCCTGCTGCCTGTTCCAGCATCTGCTGGCTGCAGCCCTGCGCTGGGGCTGCTCCCTCCCAAATTCAGAGGCCAGAACTGCAGCAGGCAGTATGGCAGGGATGCAGCCTAAAGGAGTGGAATGCAGAAAACATGAAGCTGTTACAAAATAAAAGAAAGAAATGGGGATTTTCCCCTGATAAATATTTCAGGATTTAAAGATGACTGTTTGTCTTCTCTCCTCTTCGTAATGGTGTTAATTTTATTGAGTCTTCCCAGGCTGTTGCTGAATGGGGAGGGTATCTGCAGGTGAGGGAGGCGGTGGCATGTTTTCAGTGGTGCCATGTGGACGTGCCCAGACTCCCCCCTGGCCACCCTCACTAGCTGGTCTGTTCAAAGCATCCATAGCTGCTGCAGGAGTTGGAAAGCAAGCCTGGGATAGAGCTGGGCAAAGCTGGTGGTACAGACCAGCCCAGATAACTTCCAGCCCAGGTCGCTATTGAATTCTGGACCTGCACGGTCACACTGTAGGAAAACATGACTGGTGTGGTGGTGCAGGCGATGGTGGGCACAGGTCAGCACTCCCCTGGGTTAAACCCTGGGGAGCTTTGTGCGGGGGAACCTGCCCTCCTCAAAGGATGGGGTGGAAGTAGAGGAGGTCAGGAAGGTAGCGGAGATGCCAGGCTGGTGGCACAGATGAGGTACAAGGAGTGCCTGAGCCCCTTCCCCCGTGATCTCTCTGCCAGGAGAGGTTGCTGTCAGTCGTGGGCAGCCTGGAGAAGGTGAACAGGGAGCGATTGCTCAAATTACCTGGCAGAGGAACTGGAGGACATTGAGTGATACGGGAACTGGCGGCTTCAGAACAGGCAGAGAGATGCTGGGTGACACATGTAGCTGTGCGTCTCCTCCGCGTGTGGCTGGGGAGGCCGAGGGCCTTCAAACACAGACAGGTTCCTGGAGGAAAAATTCCCCTCCAGCTGTAGCACAGGCAGGTGCCAGCTCTGGCTCAAAGCCATCAGTCTGTGCTGCCCTGGCAGCCGCCTGCGCGCTCGCCTGGCTCTGCTCGCCCTGGGCTCTCACCCTTCACGATTGCCAGGGCCAGTATCAGACCGGGCTCTGCTCCATGTTCTGGGGTCTCAAGAATGGGTTATGTTCTTGCAGTGTATTTTTTTAACATCATTGGTACCGTATTGCAACTGAGAGCTATTGGCCTTATTAGATTTCAGGGATTGCCTTTGTGTGGCTGGCATGCGGAAGGCATTTTATACACGCTGCCTGCCTGGTCAGAGAGGAAGAAATAAAAGTGATGTGTTGGTACAAAGGTTATTTTCATATGCCTCCTTGCAGCAGTCGTTTTGATATGTAGCACGATGAAGCCAGTGAAGTTCCCTGTAGATCATAGGATAAAATGTTCAGTGTCCAGCAGATCCAAGACATGTCTGAAAGAAATGATGCTCTGACTCTTCATTTTTTGTTCCCCTGACTTTTTTGGCACAATGTGGATAATAAACCGTAACGTGTCTGGGATACCTTTTTGGACACTTGCATGGAACATTACACGCCACCATAAAACGTGGTTACCTTATGCCAAATGGAAGATAGTGTTTGCCTGCCCTGGTGAACTGCTGCAGCTTATCATTTTGAGGCTTACACTTTGTTAAAGGCATGGCCTTCAGTGGGGAATTGAGAAGAAACAGCTCTTTGCCCTCAGTGATGCTCTTCTGCATTGTCTCTCTATCTGCAAGTGTTGAATGTAGAACTAAAAGATTTTTCTTTTTCCTTTACAGGTAAAAATCTCTACACCAATGAATATGTAGCGATTAAACTGGTAAGTAAAAGCCTCAAGTGTTCCTAAATGGCTTGTATTTAACCTTAAAAACTGAGATAAAAAGCAACTTTTTCACTTCAGGCTTAATGCTGTGCTCACCATCAGCTGGAATCACTTACTTAAACTAAGATAAATTATTGAGAACGCTAAAAATGAGGAAAGAATATATCCTTCCACCTGCTGAACGTTTTTGGTGCCTAAATGGTCTGGAGCTGTTTTATACCCATGAGAGCCTTGGTCCTCTTTCCACGCTGGCTGCCACGTCCCAGTGAGCGGCACTGATTGCGGGTTTGCCACCTCTTCCCTATCCCTGGGTCGAGCCTTTCTCTTCCACACTCCATCAGTTCTCCAGCCCCTCACCTCCCTCTGGCTGGGCTGTTGTGGGAGGGTTTGGTTAGGAGAGTGGCACTGTGCAGCCTGCTCCTCCACGCTGTTGGAGTCGAGAGGCAGGAAAGGGGGTGTTTCAATGGTTAAAATTCCCTGGGTAGAAAATAGCACAATTCAGACTGGTGTGATGCTGAGAGACTGCAGATGCAACAGGCAAAACAAGATCCAATTGAGTGAAGGTCAGTCTTGGGTGGCCGAGGATATATCGCCACAGCATCTTCCAAATTATTTTCTCCTTTTATGTCATAGGATGGTAGAAATGAATCAAACTGGCTCACCAAGGCATTGCAGGAGCTGCCTTAAAAATCCCAAGCCCACCAGTAGCAAACCTCAGAATTTGTGTGAGTGGTTTTGTTCCCGGCTCTCTTCTCGCCCGGCCTCAGTACCAGTTACTGGGTTAGAAGCCTCACTACCAGTTACTGGGTTAGAAGCCTCAGTACCCCTTACTGGGTTTTTTCCTGCCCAGCAGTCGATGTAGCTCTCCCCAGGTGCATGCAGAGACAGATTCCATGTTTCTTATACCGGCCCCACGAGTGGTCCAGGTCGAAAGCCGCCTTCTGAAGACTTCTTCAGGGCATGAAGACGCTGTGGTCAGCAGTGGTTTGAAGTAGGAGTATAGGGGGCGGGAAGCTCTCTAACTCATAGCTCTGCCAAATCTCCAAAGTCATATCCCAGCAGTTTGTGTTTATGCCTTAGCTTTTCTCAGCTGTAAACTAAGGCTTTCATTAGTCTCTTGGGGTTTTCAAATTGGATGTCTCCGGCTGATGTGCTCTTTTCTCATCCGTAAGCTCTTTAATCACAGATCCAAATGCCAGAATCTGAAGTTAAAGTTGTAACACTAATTTGATATTAGCAGCAAACGTGCCTGTTTGCTCAACTGATGTTGTCTGGTGAAATGGCAGGAGTTGCTCAGATTGCAGAAGATCACAATGGACTCGGTGTGTTAATTCTGATCATGTTCAAGTGCCACAGATTTTATATCTCTAGTGTTCTCCTTATAGGATGTATTGTAGATGAAAAATAATTAGGGCTTTGCAGGAGGGACTTGTTCACAAGCCTGTTGGCATTCGCCAGGAGATACTCCCTAAAATAAACAAACAAATGCCTGCAGTGAAGCTTAGGATGTCCCCGATACGGATCCACATCAGGAAGGAGGACTGGTGCTTGCTAGGCAGATTTGACAGTATAAAATGTGCTGTTTACACTGACAAGGTGCTTTATTGAATTAATAATGCATCTAATTTGCTTTCAAAGATAATCCCACGAAGTTAGAGCATTGGAAGGCACAAGGAAGTAATGATATAGGAAAAACACAGCTGTGTTAGTCCAAAGGAGGCTTGTTTCTCTCAAAACAGTGCTTGCGGTGACACCTCCCAGTAACCTGAGACCTTCCAACAGCCCTAGGGCAGAGCTGAATGGTGCGACCTCTATTGCTACCTTCATCTTACCTACTTTTTCTAATAGCATTCTTTCTTTCCTCCCCCCCCAAAAAAAAACCACCACCCAATATATGAGTGTCAAAGCACTTACTCTGCAGCAGACTCCCATTTAATTTGCTCTGTTGCGATTCGTGCTTCAAAATCTCTGCTCTTTCCCATGTGGGGGCCATCCAGGCAGTCACGTACCTGCTCTGTTTCTGGGAAATTAACGAAGGAACTGAAGAAGAGATGGGGTTTTCTTGATCTCCTCATCTCAGACCATATTCCCCAGGAGTAAGAATTACTCAGCCACCTCAGCAGCAGGGATGTTTCTCTTATATGTGTACTTAACTCTAATTTTCTTCGTCCTTCCAATAATTTGTGGACTAGTGATAGAGTGACTGCATTCAATGTCCTTGAAGGCAACATTTTCTTTTATCTGCATCATTGGACCAAGTGGAAACTCTGCTCCAAGTCCTTCTGGCTGTGTGAGATCATCTTCTGCAACTGCAACCCTGCTGTCTCAGCTATTCGTGCGCAATGTTAAAGCTGGAAAATTAGAGAATTGTGTGGTGGATGCCAAAGAGCTGATCAGAAAGTGCTGTGAAATTCAGTGCTAATGTCTCATGGTTTCTCTTTGGGAGCGAGGATCGGGCAGCATCTTGGAAAGTTGCTGGCAGTGAGAAATACTGCCCATCTTCTGACTTGTACGGCTCTTTGTGCTGCTCCTCAGCTGGGTGTTATTTGGTTAAGGGCATGGAGTTCACAGAGGAGTTTGTCTTCTGAAATGCCTCGGCTGTGTCCCCTGGTTTAATCTTCTGAGGGTTTTAATGCGGAGTTGCACATTGTAGGAGTTTCTTCCCCGCGTGAAACCAGCCCGTGTCACACACAGGTACCCTCTCGTGTGATGGTGATACCTGTTGGTTGGAGCTGTGGATTTTGTGCGTCAGGCAGTAGCAATTCAGTTATTTTTGCTACAAACGCAACATCTCACTATCCTTAAGCCCTTGGCCTACAGAACAGCCATCTGTTCTGGTATGATCTTCTCGGAAGCTGCCATAACTCTGGCAAGTGTCCAGAGCTCCGGCTCCAGCAGTTTTGTCATGAGCAGCCTCACATCCTGATACATTAATCCTTCTACTTTTATCCAGGTTCAGTTTTGCCTTCGGAATATTTTTCACCATAGTTTTCTAAGTAGTTGGTCATAGTTGACTTCTGAAAGCTTTTAAATATCAGCAAGTGGAGAAGGAACCAAGAGTATTTTTTCCCCTTGCTGGCAAACGGAGGGGATGACGTGAGCTGGTGATGACCAGCTTGGCTGGAAGTTGAACTCCCGGAATTTCTGTACAAAAATCATTCTTCTGACTTAAAAAGAAGTCTTTAACAGGGAGTTCATGCCAAGTGTGGACATTGGTTACCATACAGACTGGAGGTGAAACAAGATGAGTGGATCAGTGAAAGCCTTCATGTCCTCCTGTGCAGGCACAGGAGTCACACCACCCCATGGAAGACGTCGGCTCAAACCTTGGCTGTGTTCAACCTCCTTGGGATGCTCTTGCTGTAACTCAAAAGGGGCTGACATGAAACACGCAGCCATTTTTGTGTGTGTGTTGTTCTTAGGGAGCTCCTTTATGATGAGTTATCTTCCAAATAGGGGATTGTTTAGCAGGTCTTTGAAATTCAGACTACTTTTGGTACAGTGCTATGGACTCTACACAGTTTTGAGCATAGCTCATTTCTTTTCTCAAAAGCAGGGAAATAAGTGACATCCAAACAAAAATTGAGGCCAATATTAACTTCCATTTCAAAGATGTCTGGGCAGTTGGTGCATCCACGTTCCTGCCTACCCCAAGTGCACAGTTTTGTTGAAAATGTAATTTTTGTCTCTTAATCCTCTCCATGTTAACTTTCTGTTTTCAGAAGCTTTGTAATCTTGCCCTGTTAATGCCTGTATGGGTCATAGGCATTAAGTTTTGTGCATAAAGTGCAGATGAGTAACAGTTGAGAAATGTAATGTTTTGGGTGCATTGCAGACATCCATTTTTCTTTTTTATTCTATGTATAAAAATAGAATATTCTTGAGTGCTTTGAGATGTTTGACTGACACCTGCTACTGAAGAAGGAAGACTTCTTCCTGTGCTTCTCCCAGATCTCTGGCTGCACTGTAGTGCTTGCTGCAAGCAAGTTTGTAGGTTTATACAACTGTGGTCTGACTTAAAATGCAGATATATGACTCAACGTTTTCCAAAAACATAGACTGGCAACCAGCAAAAATACTGTGGGCAACCACAGTCCACAAAGTGAACTTGGGACTTGATCTTTTGCAGCTTTGGCTTTTCTCCTGCGGATGTCCAGGGTCATTCTTCAAGGACCAGGAGCTTTGTTGAACGAATCTTGAATTTCTCTGCCATCTGCGTTTAAAGGAGGAAGTTATTTCTCCTCCAGAGTGCACATTGCAAGTCTTACTGTTTTTTTGTTCTCTGCTGATTTAAATGGTGTCTGATGGTGAGGTCTGGTGTTAGACCTCCAGCCCAGGGTGTCTTATCTTGAAACTTGAAGCATTATGTACACTCACAAAACATCAAGTATAGGATATAACGTTTTTTTTTCAGTCAAGCTGATTTTAACCAACTTTTTTTATTATTATTATTCTGTTTCAGGAACCAATAAAATCCCGTGCACCACAGCTTCATTTAGAATACAGGTTTTATAAACAACTTGGAAGTGCGGGTAAGTAAACCTTCCCTAATCTTATGGAAAGTTTGTGATTTCTTTGTTAAATCAAATGTTGCCACCATATTTGTTGTGTAACACTGACTTCAGCTTACTGATCTGGACAAACTCTTAGTCCCACATGAGTTTTTGGAAGGGATTTGGTCAGAGTAACATCATAATGATAGAGGATAATTATATGGAGCAGGAAACTCTCATTAGTAAGCTGGTATTGCATAAGTGAGGGTTGGCTGCTACGGGAAATAGGTGTAAGTGTGTTTGTACAACACAGGAGCCATCAATGGATGGAAAGTTATTTGTGTGCAGAATGGCAGACTTCAAAAAGGCGGCGTAACATCTTAAAATCTAGGAAATTGTGTAAAAAGCATAGAGCTTTTCTAATAAAAGCCTGAAATACTGTTTTCATTGATATTTGCTAAATCATAAGAGTGTCCAAAAGCCCATGGGCTCCGTGTCCTTTGTGCGACCACAGACTACAGCAAATATGAGAGGAATATAACAGGATAAGCCAACGGTGGGGTTTTTAAACTTTTTTTATTTTTTCTGGCAAGCTCTGATTCCCCCAATATCCCCAATTGTGTCTAATAGTGTGTGGACTTTTCTTCCCTGAATTTATGGCTGCTTTTAGAACCTACATAGACGTTTAGTGTGTGCTGTTCCCTATGCCAAGGATTTGCCCTCTGCATGAGGAAATCTCTCTGAAGCAAAACCTTCTCTGCTCCTACTGTGCCTTGGTCATATATCAACCTTGGGCTTTGGCAAGGTTCCTACATTACTGAAAATTTTTTTACACTTCCTTCTGGTTTTATTTTTTCTGTTTTCCCTGGATGGACCTAGCTTCCACTGGCAGAGGATGCGCTCTCATATTACCAAAATACTAAGCTGAACAGAATGAAATATATGTTTGCTCTGAGCTCATAATATACAGTGCCTGAGCAGTCTTGCGTTTTTCCTTTCTGCTGGTTCCAGTTAATTTTTCTAATTGGCTTCCTTAATTTTAGGTAGCACATCCTCTGGAGATTGGGTACAGTTGCACTCTGTATTTTGTGGCTTTTTTGCTCCTCATAGGATGCAAAATCTGGGACATGAGAACCAAGTACGTTCTCACTGTTGGAAACACTAAAATATTGTTGCTGGTTTTTTTTTTTAACAGTACTTGTCTGCTGAAATAAAGGGCTCTTTTCTATGTATTTTGTATTCTAGAGGTAGCATCTGGTACCACGCACAGAGCTCCTGATAGGTTAATGTTGTCACTTAGTTCCAGTCACTTGTGCTTTTGAGACTTAGGGCATTTCTGCTGAAGCCCGTGTAGTAAATAAATCCGAGGTAGGATCACAGAATACGTGACACGCTTCATTCTGCTCTTTGCTCCCCTCTTGAGCTCTCTTGATGCTTGCACATGTGTCTGGTGACACACGAGTGAATCCCAATCTGCTCTTCAACTCCTGTTGGCTTCCTACCATTCCTTAAAGCTGTGATTGAGGAACTTTAAAACCGATCAAATGTTGGGAGCTTGGCTTTATTTTATTTAGATTAAGTATTTTTAATGGGTTTTCTCCTGTTTCTAATGACTAAACTTTTCACCCTTCAATGCTTACTCACCCCCGCGGGGCATTTCTGCCCTGGCTGGTGCTGTGCACACTCACCAAGTATTTCTGAGTGTGCTGCCATCAGACATGGAGATCTTGCCTTCAAGAGCTCTCCTCCCTCCATGGTGGGGGAAGTGGCACTGACTGTCATCCCCAGCCTTTCTGCCGGTGTTTGTCAAGAGGCTGTTGAGAAGCCTTGTGAACAACATGACTTTTCTTTCTCCCTCTGCGTGGTCCCACGGGCATTGCAAACCCAGCCCTGATAGTCTGTTGAATGCCATTAGAAGGTCTTGTGCTAGAGTTTCACTAGAACAACTGGAAATAGGCCAGGAGCTCGGGTGGAGGATGTGAGCCACATCTCTGGTCTCACCAAAAGACTTGGAAGCTGAACAAAATAAATTTTGGTGGAGTCAGATTGCCAGGACCAGGGAGCCTTGACTTGGTGTGTGCCACAGGAAGACTGTCTGTACAAACAGATTGGTATTAAATCTGTGGCTGCTTTGGGGAAGTAGATGGGTCTGTTCTCAGTGCTGTTGATAACTCCAGGCTCCCCTTAATGGTCCTTGCTTAAAAACTTCAGCCACTCCAACAGACAGCTGTGAACTTCCAGTAAGCAGGACCGGATACTTGAAATTATCGTAGACTCGCCAAATGAAGACTGAGAGTGTCCAAACCCATGGCGCGTATGACTCAGAGGAGCAAACAGTAGTGTTACATGTGACATACTGTTCAATACATTCGCCAATTAATCTTGCCAAATAACGTGGCTGACTGCGAACCTCCCACTGGTCGCCTAAAAAGTGAGACTGGTGAAAGCATTGCTGTAACGCCGCAGTGGCAGTGTGGTCCTCTTGTTAGTGCAACTGCTGCGTTCAGCTGCGTGTACAACCAGATGGTCTTGGTGAGCAGCATCTCAGAGACGTCAAAATTATCATCACCTGCAGCATTTTGAGAAAAACATGTTTTTTCCTAATGAGAATAATTTTGATGGTGATTTCCTTTTTCCTGGATATTCAGAATAAACATCTTTAAAGTATATTACTCTTGGTTACTAATAATAGGAAAAACTTAGGTTGGAAGGAGCCAACCTCCTTGGCCATGGATCAAGTAGGAACCTTCTTGCAGAAAGGCTTTGTGTGTGTCAAAAAAGGTATTTCATCTGTAGTGCGTGACTGGATGTGTCCACCCGAAGTTGAGACTGGCCTGGAGGGAAGTGTTTTGTGGCCGTCAGCTTTCCAAGAGAATGGTCTTAGACGCTAAAGACCGCAGAAGACCTGGTCATGACTTGCTTGCAAGATACCAGATTGAGAAGCACAACCTCCAAACTAAGGAGCATAAAGGTTTTGTGCCCTGCAGAAGTCCAGCCAGTGGTGTTGAGGAGGTATGAGTTGCTGCTCATCACGCTGGTAGGACAAGTGCTGCTGCAAGGAACTCGCTCTGTAAGGCTGGCTCTGGAGTCTGGTCCTGCAGGATATTGCACAAAATACTTTTTGGGGGCTTTTGCCCCAGAAATTTAGAACAATTCTGCAGTTGAGTGCCTGAAGGGGGTATGTCAGTATTGATTACCTGCTTCACTTGCTGCCATCATCAAGAACTACCAAAATTAGTATTTTTTCTTTTTCTTAAGCTATTTAGTCTAGTTTTTGTGCTTTCCTTGGTATAGTTAAACGGAGTAGCAAATAGCCGGATACTCTGGGGCTCTGTCAGAAGTTAATTCCTGGGATGAGCTTCCGTGTGAGATGTTTCCACGTGAACGGAGGGAGCAGCACAGCTGTGTGATGGCTGCCTTCTCCTCTTGCAGCTCCACTGTGGCATCCTGTGCCACGTGCTCCATGGGCACCAATGGTGAAAGACTTCTCACAAGGCACTGAAGCCACATGGTTCCTCCCATCAGCACCAGCCTCTTTGTCTGCCACATGGTGTGGCTGAAGATCACTCGTCAGCTTGGATTAGCTGAGGAGAAAACTGGATTTCTTGTGTATTGTACATCTTAAGATGTATTTCACAGTAGATTAGATCCCTTTATCAAACTTTTGCTCTAGTATATCTGAACTGTATGAACTGTATGAACTGTCTTTGGTGCTTCTCAGAGTAGCTCAATACCGGTGGATGTACCAAATGGCTTCAGAAGTAGCCAACTGAGATAGTCCTGGGTCAGAAGAACCAACAAACAAGCGTCTCTGATGTACTTCTTGCAGGAATTGATGCAACCTCTGATGCTTCAATGCCTCCCTGTCGTATGAGAAACAAGTAGCTCCCCTGTAATTTCCTATTTTGCCCCTCTAAATGGAGGGATGTTTCCTCATAGAAATGGGTTTTCCTGTTTCTTCCTTGAACTTTTCTACCCCCTCAAAAGAAGAGGGAAGGGCCTGCTGCACAGTGACCATCTGCTGGCTTCTTCTGTCTCACTGTGGAATTAAATATTTAATAACCTAAAATAGCGAATGACTGCTTTACCTTAGCGTAGCCAGCCAAGCAAAGCAAAAAAAGCGAAGCGCAGGCACGGAGTCAAAGACCTGATGGTCAGACCACAGGGTGTCTCAGGGAAGGACGAGAGTTCCTTCAGGTTTTCAGTGGTCTGGGCTACACTCTGTTTGCTGACCAAGAGAATTGGAGTGGTTTTAACAATCCCTTTGCAAACTCGTTGTGTTACTCTGTTGTCAAACCTGTAAGACGCTGGTGTCGTACTGACCCATTTCATGGTTGCTTTTTGTTGTGAAGTCCACGTGAGCGGGCGTGGATGACCTGACCAAGAAGATTCATCCTGGCCTGGGCTGTCCCTAGGATCTCACTTTGCTGGTGGTGACACGATCCGTGTACATCAGTCCTAATTTTTTTTTCTTGCTGGAGTAGCTACCTGTGTATAAACATGAGCAGAACAGCTTTTCAGAAGAAGTCCAGGTGGGATTTGAGTATTCCCCAAAATTAGGCTCTTGCTCTATGATGCTCTTTGAGGACTGGCTGTTCCAGGTGTTCCCCTCCTCCTCAAGATTGGTTCCTTGACTCCTGTGCTTCCCCTTGCTCTGAGGCCTCCTACAGCTACTTAAATCTGTGCTTCCATCCCCTGGGGACATTAGGAACTCCCCCAATCAACTTGACTGGATGTTTTACGTCTCCTAGGGCTGCCAAGCTCAAGTCTCCAGCATGTTTCCAGTGTTGGGTCAGTCACTTGAGCATGTCATTTGTCCCCTGTACCTGAAGTTTGTGGAGTAAAGGCTTGGCTTCTTGTCATTCATAAAAAATCTTGAATAATCAGGCCCTACAGTTTGCATGATGATGCGTGGAGGAGCTCCATTCGGGAAGCTGGTGTGGGCAGAGCAAAACTGAGTTTGACCACAGTTAAACAGACCCAGCTCCAAGCTCCTGGGATGGTTGTGCTTCCTGGGTAGCGTACCAGGACCAACCAGC